GGCGGAAATCAGCAGCCACCCCAACCTGCCGCTCACTGTCTTGAGCAGGAGGAATTCTGGGGTATACTACATGAGGTGGATCCAGTACAAGCAGCGCAGCAGGATAACCGTCAACAGCACAGGCAGACCGTTAAACTAAATGGCAAAGCAGTAACTGGTCTGAGAGACACCGGAGCCACTATGACTTTGCTCCAAAAGAACCTTGTTTCAGAACACCAACACACTGGAAATACTGTGGCAGTGAGGGTAGCGGGAGGTGCAGTATTCCGTTTACCGGTTGCCCGGGTTCACTTGGATTGGGGGGTGGGCTCTGGACACGTGAATGTGGGGGTCATGAAAGACTTACCTGCTGATGTTTTGCTTGGGAATGACTTGGCCCCTTTGGTGTCCGCTTATGCTCCAATGGGACCTGCCGATATCAACCCAGTGACTACCCGTGCCCAGACCCGTGCTGCTGGAACCAGCCCACCTGCTGCTGAGACCCAGGTAAGAACCGAGTCCCCGACTGGTACCCTAGAACAGACTTTTATTAGCTGGGATTCCCCAGAGGAGTTTGGGAGGGAAACTCAGACAGATTCGACACTCCAGAAGTATAGGGACAGAGCGAATACTGGAGAGGAAGGATTAGATGGGGAATGGTATGAGTGGGTGGGGGACAGGTTGTATAGGATCCCCAAGCTTTCCCCGAAAAGTGTTGCCCCTCCGCCGAATCGACAGCTGGTGGTGCCCGCAAAATACCGGCAGGAGATTCTGCGGATAGGGCATGATGTTCCCCTAGCTGGACATCTAGGTTCCCGCCGCACAGCCTATAGGATCATGCAGAACTTCTTTTGGCCAAACTTTAATCAGGCTGTTCGGACATATTGCAGTACGTGTGACACATGTCAACGGGTAGGAAAGCGGGGGGACCACCCAAGAGCTAGGCTTATGTCTATGCCTATCATTGGGGAGCCCTTTGCCCGCATAGCCGTTGACATTGTGGGTCCACTGGCCAGGGCTAGTCCATCCGGTAAGAAATATATTCTCACTGTGGTGGATTATGCCACTCGCTATCCAGAGGCAGTAGCGCTGTCTAATATAGAGGCAGAGACAGTTGCTGATGCCCTGGTTAGGATTTTTACCAGAGTCGGGTTCCCTCAAGAGATTCTCTCTGACCAGGGAACCCAATTCACCGCTGTGCTCACCCAGCAACTGTGGAAGGTGTGCGGCATTAAACCGCTGCTTAGCTCACCTTACCATCCACAGACTAACGGTCTCTGCGAGCGATTTAACGGTACCCTCAAACAGATGCTGAGGACCTTTTCTGACACTTGCAGAGACTGGGAGCGATTCCTGCCTCATCTGTTGTTTTCCTACAGAGAGGTGCCTCAGGAATCTACTGGGTTCTCCCCCTTTGAGTTGCTATATGGGAGAAGGGTCCGCGGACCCCTAGATCTCATTAGAGGCCACTGGGAGGGGGAGACAGAGCAGGAAGGGACCCCCATAGTACCGTATGTTCTGGAACTCCGGGACCGCATGGAGAAACTGTCCCTAATGGTAAGGGAGAATCTCCAGGTGGCTCAGGGGAGACAGAAGAGGTGGTACGATCGGGGTGCCCGACAGCGAGTCTTCCAGGTTGGGCAGAAAGTGCTAGTATTCAAACCTGTGAAGGCAAACAAGATGCAGGCGTCTTGGCAGGGCCCGTATAAGGTGTTAGCGCAGATATGTGATACTACCTACCTTATAGCCAGCTGTTCGGATGAAAGGATCCAGCGATCCTTCCATGTGAACATGCTAAAGGAGTATCAGGAGAGACCAGAGAATGTCGCTGCAGTATGTGCCCCTGCTGCAGATGATACAGAGAGCTTACCCTTACCAGATTTGTTAGAGAGGGACCCCCAGACGGATCTTACTAGCCTGGTGCAGCTAGGGGACAGATTGAGCCCCACCGAGAAGGGCCAGGCAAGACAGCTTCTGTGGGAGAAGCAGGCGACATTCTCCCAAGAACCCGGCTACACTACCCTAGCTGTACACAAGGTAGAAACCCCTGGACAGAACCCTTTGAGACAACCCCCTTACCGTATCCCTGAAGCAGTCCGGGAAGGAATGCGGAGGGAGATACAGGAGATGACCCAGCTGGGGGTCATCGAACACTCCGATAGCCCTTGTGCTTCCCCTGTAGTCCTGGTGCCCAAAAAGGATGGGACCACCCAGTTCTGTGTGGACTACAGGCGGCTCAATGAGCGGACCACCACTGACGCCTACCCGATTCCCCGGGTAGACGAATTGTTAGATCGCATTGCCAGGGGACGCTATATGACCACCATAGACCTGTGCAAAGGCTACTGGCAGATTCCCCTGGTCGAGGATGCTATCCCCAAGTCGGCCTTCGTCACCCCATTTGGCCTGTACCAATTCAAGGTCATGCCATTTGGGATGAAGAATGCGCCGGCTACCTTCCAACGTATGGTGGATAGACTTCTTGATGGATTCCAGGAATTTGCTTGTGCATACCTGGATGACATTGTGATCTACAGTGAGTCCTGGGAGGAACACCTGGTACATGTAGGGGTAGTACTGGACAAAATTCGGGCCGCTGGCCTGACATTGAAGCCAGAGAAGTGCCATTTAGGCATGGCTGAAGTGCAGTACCTGGGTCACAGAGTAGGGTGTGGGAGCCAGAGACCAGAGCCAGCCAAGATAGAGGCAGTAGCTAACTGGCCCACACCTATCACTAAGACCCAGGTGTTAGCATTCCTAGGGACAGCAGGGTACTATAGACGCTTTGTCCCCGACTACAGCACTATTGCTAAACCCCTGACTGACCTGACAAAGAAAAACCTCCCTAAACAGGTCCTGTGGTCTCCAGCTTGTGAAGCTGCGTTTCAAGCGCTCAAACAGGCTCTTGTGAAGGCCCCTGTCCTGGCTGCCCCAGTCCCTAACAAACGTTTTCTCGTTCATACAAATGCTTCCATGTATGGACTGGGGGCTGTGCTGAGCCAGGTCGGGGAAGATGGAGGAGAGCACCCTGTCGCATATCTCAGTAGAAAGCTGTTACCCAGAGAAGTGAGTAATGCAGCAGTGGAGAAGGAGTGTTTGGCCCTGGTGTGGGCATTGAAAAAGTTAAGCCCATATCTATATGGACAGGAATTTTCCCTTGTGACGGACCACAATCCCCTTGTCTGGCTTAACCGGGTCTCTGGAGACAATGGCAGACTGCTGAGGTGGAGTTTAGCCCTACAGCCGTATAACTTCACCATCAGTTATCGACCCGGTAAGCAGAATGGGAATGCAGATGGATTGTCCAGGCAAACCGACATCCTCACCCCATCTTAGTCCGGTCATCCCCACGTTGACCCGCCAAAGGGTCAAGCCGGGTCTGCCGGAGTGTCCCACAAGGGGGGAGCCGTGTGACAGATTCATCTGTATTGCTGGTTCGTCTGTTTCCCTTTGTTCGCTGGATTCCTGTTCGTATACCCCCGTTCGTGTAATTTGCAAACTACCGATTGAAACTACCGAACGAACGACCACCCAGGAGAGGAGTGTGCTGCTGGTTAACCTCTTGGCCCCAATTAGAACGTTGTGGTTAACCGCAGACACCTCTCCATTCCATTCGTACGGGTGGTCGTCGTTCGCATGTCGACCACGAGGCAGCGGCCATTTTGGGACACACGAACGCATAGCGGTGTTCGGTACAAACTGTATGGAACTAAAAACGGACACTTAAACTACCGAACACCGCTGGAAGCTGATGCCCACCTTCTATTTCGACAAGGCATGCGAACGTCGGTCGTTCGGGAGTTTTTATTGCATTCGTATGGACTTTTACCCAGACAGCCATCCCATGGAGTCATTCGTATACCGAAGGGCTGGTGCAAGACTTTGACTCCATGGCGATTCGACTAGATACATCGGATCTGAGCGCTATTCGGTGAAAATGTGCACTCAGATCCAGGCTGTCTGGGGATGCGTTACACGAACTATATTCATTCGGTATTTCTTCAGTTATGTATTTTAATGTATTTTTATTACTGTAATTTAAAATGGCGATTGTCTCTACCTTGGGAGATAATTAGGTTTCTTCCTAATTATCTCCGGGGTAGAGAAGACGGATTTATGGGTAAGATGGGAAGGGCTTATATTGAAGCCACTGCGATTGGCTACTGTCCAATATGTTTTACAGTCTTCCACAAGGTCCCCTCGGGGAGTGTCCACCTTGTGGAGACCTGCATAAATACTGGGCAGGTAGCCCCCATTAAACAGATCTTTATTTGACCCTCAAGACGGAGCTTAGTCTCGTTTGTGGGGGGAATTATTACTGGGACAGCGCTTTCGTTATTTTTAGCTGTGGAAGGCGTTCGACTGTTTGCTGATCGGGAGTTGCCGTGTTCGTGGACTTCGTTCGGGAGTTG